TGAAGGTTGGACACAAGCATAAAAAGACTGCAGGAAAGAGATTTAAAAGGGGGTAAAAATGATTTAAAAATCAAATGAGAGTAGTAGAGTATAAACTGTAAAAAGAAATGAGAGTCATGCAAGAAAATATGACAAAATAATTAACAACTTAGTAAAAAAAAGTTTTAAAATATTTAACAAAATATCTCCAGAAAGAAATAATTCAAATGCTATGGAATCATAGTGAGGATCACATAAGATTTCGTACCCACAACTATAAATAAATGGAGGATTGAAAATATGCTATTACAGAAGGCAAAGAAACTAAAATTACAACCAAGAAAAACATACCCAGAAAAACAAAGTATAATACTACAGGGGGGAAAGATGAATATTTAATGAAATAGAAAGCTTTTAAGCATTTCTGATGAAAAGAAGAGAGCTAAATAGAAAATCAGACATTCAAACACAGGATTAAAGGGAAGGATATTGTAAAAATAATCAACTGTGAAAGGCAGCTGCTCTCATAAATACAATGATTCATGACAATTCCAAAGAATTCATGATGAAAACTGTTATCTGAGTTCACATAAATGCATATTTTTCTCTTTATTTTCCTTACTTTTCTTTCAGAACATGGTTAATGTGGAAATTTGTTTTGTTTGACTTTGTATTTGTAATATTTTATCTATCTTCCCTTCTCAATGAGTAAGGTAAGGTATGGAGGAACAGAGAATTTGGAACTGAAAATAAAACTGAATTTTAAAACAATAAAAAATAGATTTACAAAAGAGTTTCAATGCCATCCAAGTATTTTTCATGTCTTTCAGCAATTGACCCTGATCCCCTCCCCAAAACACATGCTTACATACACATATACCCATATATATGTACACATTTCTATAATGGAAGAACAGAAGGAAACATTTATTTTTAAATACTTGTGTGCCAGATCTTGTATTAAGTGCTTTATACATATTATCTATTCTGATCCTCAAAACAACCCTGTGAGATAGGTAGTGTTGTTATCACCATTTTGCAGTTGAAGATAGTGAGACAGACAGCTGTTAAGTGATTTGGCCACCAGGGTCACATAGCTAGAAGGTATCTGAGTATGAATTTGAACTCAGTTCATCTTTATGCAAGGTTCGTGGCACAAAGTACCTGATATAGATATAGGTATGAATTTATGTATACATACATGTATATATGTGTGTGTGTGTATATAGGTATATATATACCTATATACACACACACACACAAATATATATCATATATGTTTGTAAGGGGAGCTAGGTGGTGCAGCATATATAGAATATTAGACTCGAAGTCAAGCAGATGAGTTCATATCTTGCCTCAGACATTTAAGCTAGATGGGTCAGTGTGAGCTTGATGTTTCATCCAAGAATAAGACACTTAACCTCTCTCAGCCTGTTTCATCAATGCATATAATGGACACAATAATTGTATATACTTCACAGCATTGTTATAAGGATCAAATTAGCAAAAATAATTAAGGCACTTTGCAAAGTTTGAGTCACAGCATAATTTGAGGTCTCAGTCTTTATTATCAGTATTATTAATAATAATATTAAAAATATGTATGCCTTCCATGAAGTTGCTTGTACAGAGTGAACAAATACTTGCAATAACTTTAAATACATATTTCAATGCCCCAAAAATAGCTTAAACAACCTTTAAAATGGTCTTATGAGGCTGTTTTGTATATTTTCTGAGTCTCTAGATACAAAGCTGCAATTTCTAAGGGAACAAGCTCCTAACCAAATGAGGAATCCATCAGTTCAAGTTCTATTCCAACACAAAAGAGTTGTGTGACACTAAGCAATTTAATTAAGCTCCCACTCAACTAGATTTGTAGAGTTCTTTCACTAAGACTAACCTACATCAATAAAATCACAGATTTGGAGAAAGGAGACAAGAACCAATTCATAGATTTTAAACAGTCACATGATATAACAAAATGTGGAAATCATTTGACTTTAATACTGAAAACCTGTGTTTTGAATGAAGATTGATGTTTATTAGTTGTGTGAGATGGAACAAGGTTCTTAATCTCTCAGAGACTGTGTCCTAAATTGTAAAATAGTAATGATTAGTATTTTACTAAGTACTCCTTATGGTTATTTTAGGAATTATATATTAGGCTATGAAAGCATTTTAAAATTATAAAAGACTAAATAAATGCAAAGTTATAATTTTGTTAATGTGTGTATATACTTTGAAAATTATTTAATTAGCATGCTTCTGACCTATAAGGGTTAACATTTCATAACTGATGACTTTGATACAGACAGAAAAAGTAGGAGTTTAAATTATTAAGCACATAATGGACAGAAATTATTTAATTTTCTTTCTTTTTTTTCCTTAAAAAGCACATATGAGATCATAGAAAAGACTTTGGCATTGAACCCTTTAAAAAATGTTTCCAAGCTATTAGTTTCCTTAGAGAAGTCTTGATGTCCTTATTCCTTAAGCTGTAGATGATAGGGTTCAGGGTTGGGGGCACCACTGCATAGAACATAGACAATAATAGGTCCACAACTGAGTCAGAGTATGAAGGTGGCTTTATATAGGCCACGATCGCACTTGTTGCAAAAACCATGAGAACAATGAGGTGGGGCAGGCAAGTGGAAAAGGCTTTTGCCCGAGCCTCTGTAGTTGGAATCTTCAGTACAGTTGAGAAGGTGTGACCATAAGACACAGTTATGGAAATACAGCAGAATATTCCTAAACCAAATGCAAAAGCCATTGTCAAATAAATTGCCATGTGTGTCTCAGAGCACGAGATCTTGACTAAGGAAGGGACATCACAAAAGAACTGATGGATCTCCTTGGAGCCACAGAAGGGCAAAGAGAAGGTAGTAGTTGAGTACATGACACCAAACACACTTCCAGCAAGCCAGGAAACATCTGCCATCCTCAAACAAGCCTCTCTGCTCATGATGACTTCATAGTGCAGGGGCTGACAGATGGCCACATAGCGGTCATAGGACATTGCTGTGAGAAGAAAAATCTCTGACCCTGAAAATAAAATTACTAAAAAGAGTTGCAATACACACCCCAAGTAAGAGATAGAAGAATTGTGGCTTAATGAGTTTGCAATCGATTTGGGGACAGTAACAGAAATGAAGCAGAGATCCAAAAGGGACAAGTTCTTAAGGAAATACATGGGAGTGTGGAGGTGCTCATCTAGAGAGATTAGAGTGAAGATGAGCAGATTCCCCATCAGAGCCACCAGGTAGATCAGCAAGAAGAATATGGCATGTAAGATCTGCAGCTGCCAAGCGTTAAAAAAGTTCATAAGGAGGAATTCTGTTATCATTGTGAGATTGGCCATGTTCTATATCTTCTCTTAGCTGTTGGCTCAGAGAAAATAAACAGATGACAAATGATGAAAAGAACATTCATTATACTGGCATCAGGAAACCTTAGTTGCAGCCCACTGTATAACCTTGGGTTAATCACAATCCCTTGTTCTACCCCACTTTCCTCATTTGTTAAAGGAGGGGATAGAGCTATATAATAAGGTCTTACCCTGAGGTTGATCAAAATTTTTTATATATTTTATAACAGCATTTCCATATATTTGGTTTCCTTTGAAATCTTTTATATTTTGTACATTTTAAAACACAAATATGAGATGGGGCCCATAGGCTTCACCAGGTTGGCAATAAAACTATTTATTTAATGGCAAAGTTTCAGGTGGCAGAAAAGAGAAAAAGTAAGCATTTCAGTTAATTTAGGTCTATATTTAGGGGTACAATGACTTTTCCAATTTACATAAAAGCTTATGGCCTAAATGTCACTGAAAGTATGACCTTAATCAATCAATCAATAACCATTTACTAAGATCCCACCATGGGTACATCACTGTGCCATGGCACACAAAAAGTTCAGAAACCCCGAACTAGATGATATTCCAAGGCTGTTCTACATAAAACGTATCTGAAAATCCACAAAGAGAATTATCATCTTGAAAAATCAACAATAATAATGATAATAATACCTCTCTAAGTACGTTATTTTAAAGATTAAAAAGCTCATTATCACAAGAACACTGTGAGTTAGGAATTTCAAGTAGTATTACTACCATTTTATAAATAAGATACTAAGGCTCAGAGAAGCTTTAGAACTCTCCATTGGTTGCACAAGGAGTTTCAGAACCAGGATATTAAACAAGATCTCCTGATTCTAAAGCTTCTGGGTTTCCTATAAGTTTCTGTACTAAGGTAAATCTGAACTTCCTAAAGTTCAGAAAATATTATCTTCCAGATCTTCAGGAGTAATAGTTATATCAATTCTCCAGTGATTTTTAAATAGCATCCACTTCCAAGGATGTATACCACACCAAAGACACTGCCATTTTAACACCATGATTATCCCAGCAAACTAGAATTGATATAAAAATGGTAATGTTGGTCCACTTAACTTCATGCTCTTCCTTGGCCAAAAATCATGCCATTCCTAACCCAGACCAGCAATCTTGAAATGTATACACTCATCAATTATATCCCAAAACACGACTTCTGGAGGCACTGCTTTCAGTAAGACTATATGGAATCAGATCTGCACACTTGAAGATAGGAAAAAGGAATTACAAAGAAAGAGGGAGCAACAAAATAGATTTATGAAGTGTTTGCTCTTTGCACACCCCTATTCTAGACCTGGGTTGTTTAAAAAGATGAATGATTTCCAGTCATTAGCCTCAACAAGCTTCCAAATTGTCAGAGGGAGAAGAAATAGATGAAAATAATTATATACAAAAGCAGATGTGATTAAAACAGGCATAGGAAAAGAATGAACTAGTCTCTTAATTTCTGTTCCTGCATCAAGTATCTCCCTTCCATAAAACATCCTTAACACAGCTGACAAACATTTTCCTAAAGCATAGTTAAGTAGGTCAGTCCCCACCTCGAAAACTATAGGGGATCTTTGCTATTCCTTAAACAAGATATTTTGTATTTAAGGCATTTCTAAAAACTTAAGTTACTTCTTTTTTTTTAAAGGGGGTGGGGGAGCAGCCTTTATTTCTATGCAAATTCTGTCCAGCAAAATTATGTTCTTTGCTCATACATGATGTTTTACCTCCCATCTCTGTTGCTTCTGCAGATTGCCTGTTCTCCATGATAGGAATGCATTTCCTCCTCACCTCAGTATTTCAGTATCCCTAGGTGTTCAAGGTCAGCTCAAGTACCATGAGACTTTTTTGATTCACTCAATTTCTTATGCTTTCCCCCTAAAATCACCTTCAACCTATATTATGTTCATTTTTATATATCTATATGTGTGTATACTATCTTCCTTCACATAACCTTAAGGTCTTTGAAGTCAAGAACTATTTTGACTTTTGTCTTTGCATCCCTATCATCAAAACAGTGATGGAGCCACAGTAGGATCTCAGTAAGTGCTTGCTAATTGATTGATTAGGATCATACTTTCAGTGACACTTAGGCCATAAGCATTTATCTAGGTTGGAAAGGTCATCATACCCCTAAATATACACCCAAATTCAGTGAAATGCTTATTTTTGCTCTTTTGTGCCTCCTGAAACTTTGCCATTAAATAAATAGCTTTATTGAGTGTATGCTGTTGGACGCAATTGATATCTGGTGTCAGAATGAGATGAATGATCTGGAGACAACACAAGAAAGGGCAGTCCTTAGCAGATAAGGTCATAACAGGGAGAGAGAAAGCCAAAACTGGATGCTAACTAGGTAGCAAAGGAGCACAATGATAGAACTAGGAACCTGAAGAAGAGAAAATGCCAAAATTTAGGAGAGAATATAATGGAAGTAGGAAGCTACCTAAAGCATTCTTCACCTTCTTTTCAATCTCCCACACATTTAGCCCTGATTTTCATATCTAAAAAATTTTTAGAACCACACAGAAAGTGGTCAAAAACACCTCTGTATGTGCTCTCATGGTTTTACATGCCTCTTCATTTCAGACTGATGGTGGCATAATTCTTTCTAATCTTAGTTACAAAGACACTGATGCATCCGTATTTTGATAACAGAAAATTGAAATTCATACCTTGAAATCTGTCCAATTCTTCAATCCATTGTTGGAGGTTCAAACAACTAGATTTACATTTAGCCACCTACAAGCTTAGGTAGAATTAGAATAATTTTTTAAAAGTGGGGGACAATCGGGCACCAATAGTGGCATAACGAGGCAATTTTTTTCTTTTCCTTCTTTAGTATGTCCCCACCAAATCCTGGATTCACTGTAAATGTACTGGGGTAGCTACTTAGTTATGATTACCTATAGTGTTTAAAATATCAGTAAAGAATCAGGTTCTTAGAATGTAGTCAGTTCTTCCAGAGATACTGAAATATTTGCCAGATAATTGTATCACTTCATTTTACTTCAGAGATGCAATCCCAATTTTTATGGCATCCTCTGAAGAATATGAAACTGGATATCTCTTGAGTGTTCCTAAAGACATTCAGTTTCATGGGCTTTAAGTCCCTGAATAGCTCAGACTCCCAAAACTACAGCCAGCTTATTAGCCTTTCCCCTCAATGGGAGTGAGGGAGCACTTGATGATTCTGATACAAAGATCCTATGACATGTTGAAAAGATAAATATTCCTGTGTCCATTGGATCAAATTTAAAATAATTTTTAATTCAGAAAAGGCAAGTTCATATCCCATAGATAAATATAAATGAATTAGCTTTGAAAAAGAAAATAAGTGAATAAATCCAGCAACAAGAGATATTTATTCCCTTGTAAGATACAGAAGAAAATGGAAATTCATACCTTACCATCTACTCACTTCTTTAATCCATTGCTTAAATTTCAGATTATAAGATATTCATTCAATGATCAATATGCTTATGTAGAGGTGGAATAATTTTTAAAATGAAGAAAGCATTCATATACCAATGGTAACACATTGAGGTAAAAACAAATTTTGCTTTCCCTTCTTCATTTTTGTGGTTCCCTGTGTGACCCTACCATAGCCCAACTCACTGCAAGCATACTAGGGTAAGAAGCCCTGGTATCTGCTTAGCTATGATATTCATTTCTCCCTTTTGCCTATAACATTTAAAGTGTCTCTAAAAAGTCAAGTTTCTTAAAATGCAGTCACCTCTTCCAGATATGCTGAAATACTTGCCAGATGCTTGCATCACTTCATTTTCCTTCAAAGATATAAACCCTCTAATTTATGTTAGATCCTCTGAAGATGATGTAACTAGAATTCTCCTGAGTATTTTATAACCATTAAGTGCCATTGGCCCTAAGTCCCTGAACAGCTCAGGTCCCAGCTACTCAGTCTGCTTATTAGTCCTGCCTAGGCAAACAGTAACAGGATTGTACAAATGGGAGAGAAACAGAGGATACTATGATTCCCAGATCCTATAATTCATTTTTAAAACATAAAAACATAATGTTCTAATGGATCATATTTTAAAATTATTATTAAATTTAGAAAAAAAAGATTTCATATTCCACAGAGATATGAAGATGAATTACTACCCTTCAATTCCTCCCAAAAGAAAAAAAATTAGAACAAATGCAGCAACAAAGTATGTTCCTCTTTAATTTTAAAAGTTAGCAGAGGGGCAGCTAGGTGGTGCAGTGGATAAAGCACTGGCCCTGGATTCAGGAGAATCTGAGTTCAAATCCAGTCTCAGACACTTTCTATCTGTGTGACCTTAGGCAAGTCACTTAACCCCATTGCCACCAAAAAAGAAAAAGAGTAAGAAGAGAAGATGGAGCCAAGGTGGCAAATAGAAACTAGGAAATTGCCTAAACTTTCCCCAGTTTTCCTCAGAAACAACATTAAATCAAGTCTCTAAACAGATTCTGGACCAACAGAACCTACAAAAAGGAGTGAAACAATTTTCCAGCTTAAGGTAACTTACAAGGGCTTCAGAAAAGCTCTGTTTCCCCTTGGCAAAAAGGGGAGCACAGCCCAGCACAAATGATGTTCATACAAGCCAACAGGAGGCTCTTAGGCACAGGACAGATCAGTCACCAAGGCCCCTTGGTCCTGGCTCTGGAGGCCAGTGGAATAGCAGGCCAGCTGTGAGGCCCCTGGGTCTAGTACAGAAGGCAACTTGCCAGCCCTGGAAACCAGGCAACAACAGGTGTGACTTGACCCCACCACCCCAGCACAATGAGCAAGCTTCCCAGCACACAAAGCCAGAGACCAGGTCCTTGTGCCCGTGCACAAGAAGCTTGGGACAGTGCCCCCTGGGCCAAAGGAGGAGGGCTCAACTTTAAAAGCACAATATAGGTGGAAAAAATGAACAAGAAGCAAAAAAGACCTTGACCATAGAAAATTACTGTGGTGACAGGGAAGATCAAAACACAAACTCAGAAAAGGA